CGGGAAAACTCCAGAGAGGGTGCATGGCTGAGCTCAGCACGGCGCAGCCACTTCAGAAGAGCGAGCGCTTGGCCGTCAGCCGGCGAAACGTGGCCGTCTAGACCACTACGCTGCAGATCAACCAAGGGAGTGGAAGAATGACATTCATGCTTTCACATGACATTCTTGACGTTCTCATAAGTTCGAGAACCTTGTCGTCTGATCAAGTTACGAATGTTCTACGCGCCGAACGTTCTACTTCTAATGTTCCAAAAAGCCCATGCTGGTACAAAAGGCGCTCTGCGTGGTAATCTAGAATCAGTCTCACTCTTTTTTTTTTTTTTTTATTACATAGGGGGTTGCTTTTAGGCATAACTGTCTTATATGTACGCTACAAGACTTGTGGTATGGATGAATTGAAGCAATGTTTTGTGATAGTGGTTGTCATGCAGCCACTTATGGTAGCTGGTGGGTGCACTGTGTTGGAGACCTGCGGCTATAAGTAGGCGAGTGCGCTCAGTCTGTAGGCCAGGACAAGTCCATATAAGGTGACGCACATCCGCTTCCGTCGCGTCTAGGGGACACTTGGGGCATGTCGCCCGTCGTGTGCCGGATGGAGAGCTCCATGTGCAGGTTACAGCCGGTGTAAGGTTCACCCCAGCCCACAGTCTCCGAAGCACAACTTCCTCCACCCTGGTGGGATGGCGGGGGAGGGAGCAGACACATGGAGGGATAAGAGCATGTGTGTCCTGCCGGAGAGAATGTTTACGGGCGTGGTGGAGAGAGAGGGGTTCAGACGGGAGGGGGAGGGAAGGGAGATTGGGATGAGATGGAAAGTGTGCTTGTTGATCAGCTGCAAGGTTTCATTTCATTTCATTTCATTTATTATACCCTCAGGGCCCGAAGGCATTACAGAGGGGGAGAGGAACAAGGTGGTTCATGCAAATAACATAATACATATTTAGACACACTCAGTAATAAAGTAATTAGTTATTGTACTTTTGTTGTATTGGTTCTGTTGTATTGGTTCGTGGCATGACCTTGAATTCAGTACACCTTAATGCAGGTCGAGGTATTGCATTGAAGGATGTGTATATTTTGACACAGTTCCATCACTTTGGAAACCTTTTTGAGCTCTCGAATTGACACTAAGGAGTCTGTAAAAATGTGAACATGGCGGATCGTCGGCAGCTTGGTGGTCACTGCTTGTATAGTGTTGTGGTAGGCCTGTAGTACCATGACAAGTGGGTCGGCTTCGTGAGATATATATTGCTGATGCCCCTGGATGCATGTATGTGTGGAGCTGAGGAATGAGACTCGGCCACCGTCTGGGAAGATCGCTGCATCCGTGTAAACTTGACAGTGGTCGTCATGTTGGGTTTCGGGGCAGGGACGTTGGCAGGGTGTGCCCCCCTGATCGCGACGTCGTAACTTGGTTGGTTTGTTGGTGGTAATGTGGGTGTATTTCCATGGAGTTATCGGCTCCGACTGCACGTTCAGCTGGGGGCCACGTTGAAAATGCGCATGTAGCGCAGCAACCGCTGGTACAAACTGTTGTTTAATTTCCCTTGCCTGTTCTCGCTGAGAGATGAGTTCCGTGATTGTGTTCAGCCTCGCATGTTCTTGTAGGGTTGCAATTGGAGTAATGCGAGGTAGCGCCATGATAGCGCGCATTGCGTCACGATGAATGGTTTCCAATTGTGATCACTGTGCCGCCGTGAGTCGATGGAATTGCGCTTGGTAAATTATTTGCGGTTGCAAGATAGCACGCACCAGCCGTCGAGCAATGTCTGTACGAGCACCACCAGCTTTCGGTGCTATGCATCGAATGAGATGGAGAGTGGTGGCAGATGCTTGCTTAATCTTTCGGAGCCATTGAGTTCCACTTCCTGACTGTTGTATATCCAGACCCAATATTTGGACATCCGTAGTCTCGGGTATTGCTATAGCACCCAGCCTGAGTTGAAAGGGGGCCTGGGTAAATTTCTTACATCCCACCTTGTTTGCTACCATAACGTAGCTAGATTTTTGCGAAGAAATTTCCAGCCCAGCACATTGTGAATAATTCAGAAGAATGTCAAGGGCTTCTTGAAGTTGCTTGGCTTGCCTAGAGAGGTCCTTGTGAGTGGTCCATAAAGTGACTTCGTCAGCATAGATGAGAAATTTGACGTCCAGAACCCGATGGCGTTGCCATGCCAGAGGTATGAGTGCAATGTTAAAAAGAAGCGGAGCCAAGACGGAGCCTTGGGGGACTCCCCCTACTGGATGTAAAGCATCCTTCTTGTTGTCCATCCACCCTTATAGCAAATGTTCCGATTCCTAAGGAAGGAGTAAACAAATCGTGTGACCCGCGGAGGAAGCCCCAGCTCTATAAGGTTGCTCATTATGACTCTGTAGTCAATATTGTCGTACGCTTTGGCAATGTCTAAAGCTACCACCATGCGTACAACCTGACTGTGGGGTGACACCTGTATGATGTCGTCCGCTAGAATCGACAGGCCTTCCTCAGTCCCCAAGTACGGTCGGAAGCCGATTTGTGCGGGGTGATATTTTCCGTATCTTTCGAGCCACCAGGATACTCGTGTGGCCAGCATCCTCTCTACAAGCTTGCAAATCGTTGGTGTGAGCGAAATTGGTCGTAACGCTTGGAGATTGTTGGGTGTCTTTCCTGGCTTCGGGATAGGGACCACAATGGAATGTTTCCAGTCAGAGGGAATGTCTCCTGTCTCCCATAATTGGTTGATTGCCTCTAGGAGTGTGTCAAGAGCTGGGCCTTCTTGGTTTTGGAACACCTCAGTCTCGCTCTTGCACTCAATCATGCTATACTGCCGAGCCGACCTTTGACGCCTGCGACGCTACCTCTTTGTATATTTGTTTTGGGCACAGGTTCGCCCCTATTAATGTTTGGTTTCCTACTGCACTAACAGTTGGAAGTAGGAAACAGTTGACAGACAGAGAGACGGCCTTAAAATTCCTTGAAAACCCTTGGAATTATTATCTTCAAAACCTGCACGAACCCTGTAAAGGCCATTGTAAAGAATGGTTTCTGGAACCGATTTGAAAAGACATGCACCCATTGCAGAAGAAGTCTGTAATTGTAATAAAGGGGGGAAGGGGGGGCTTATTTTGAAGGAGGATGTGTTTCAACTTTGTAACTCTAACAATCTCTGAACATACAACAGCAGTCCCGGATATTTGCGGACCCTGCCTCGTAGTATGTGCAATATCAGATATAAAGTGTGTTTTGGATTTTGTGCCTTACTTCACTTTCTTGAACTTGGAATTCTGAAGAAATTTCTTAATGCAGAGCCTGCACCAGCTCATACTTTTCTAGTGCACTCTTTAGCCGAAGAGAGAGAAGGAAAATCGGGACTAAATTCAGAAAGGCATTCCGACGTTTTGCTAAGAGCCTTACCTTTCTTGGGATGCCAGTTGATGCTCGGTAATTGGAATTCGTGAAGTGGGACGACAAACGCTATATCAATCTGTTGTTTCTTGATGAGATCATTTTCGATGACCTGCCCACATCTAAATTATGTCTCACAAGGCCTGTGTGGGAAAAACACAGCACAGTCACCTGAAAAAAAGGTGCGAGCATTTTGTGAATATTCCGCTAGGACTTTGTTGTCGTCTGTAAGAATTATGAAAGTGCTCAGCGTTAGTTCAGGTCATGCCTCACTCTGTTTGTGTTCGGGGCATGTCTGCTGGCTGACAGCTTGCGCCTAGTTCCTTCACTCCTGTACCATTGCAAATATAGTATGTAAACAATCCACACTCAACACTGGTGATGAGGATTGAATAGGGATCGGACTCCTTGGCACTGTCCTAAAGTTTGGTGAAGAAGACGTTTTGATACTTCTTCAAGATGTTCTACATTGATCTGCAGTATGGTCATAAACGGTCGTCCATCACCATACCGTCCTCGTCGTCAGTGCTTACTGTGGATTATTTTAGATATCTTCTCATCTGCAACAGCTGCAGTCTTAGTCGTCTGCCCTCCGTTCAATGTTGCAACGTTGGTAGTCATGTGCTAATGGCAGATTTTGAGTTTGAATCAAATTCAAAGCAAATAGCAGTTTTGGCTGAATATTTTCTAATCAAATAATTTCTCCAAGCCTTCCACTACTGCACCCATGCTGAACTCGTCAAGGTTGTTCCCAAGCTTCCATCTGATCTAACCTAAGTTAATCTTAATCTAACTATAATTATTGACAGTGGCCTCAGGAAGTCCAATGCCTACTTGATTTGGCGACTAAAAAACGCATTTGACATAAAATTTAACCTATAGAGATTCCCAGCTGTAACTAATCGGGGGGGGGGGACTTTATAAACCTTCTTGCTATATGGAAGTACTCTTTCTTGAATCTCAAACTAGAGAAAAGGAACAAGGATAATCGTGAATGATGAGTGCAGGTTGTCAGGAAATCTCTGCCTTACACATACTTTTGAATAATAGCCACAGTTTACTTTTGGAATAACTGTAGTGTATAGATACAGCATTCACAAAGTTTGTTTCTTTTTAAATACACTTTGTGCATGCCCGCACCATCCCGCTTTGAAAGTATACTTTCCTTCTAAGCATGCGACTATACAATATTTGTACTTTACGAAGTGTTCATCGCGGTGAGTTAGTCCCGTTGAGCGCTTCTTACCGAGCACAGGTGCGTTGCAGAGAAGCAACACTTGCGGAGCCCGCTTTCACGAGTGTCGCTTCTGCGCAGTGTACCCGTGCTCCGTAAGATGCGCACTCGTGCGATCAACACTTAGGGAGATACGAATATCGCAAGTCATTTCAAAGTGAATATCGAATAGCATATTATTCTAAGCTACTGCTATTTGAATATTTGCACAACCCTAGACGTTTGACACACTGAAAGCCATCTGCAGTGACAAGGGCACTCGTTTTTTTGTAGCCTTTACCTTTCGCATTCTCATTTTTTTCGGTCCCGTACCATTGTACATTATCAAGCAGTAAACAATGAACGAAATGGGAAAAGAAGGAGATTATTCTGTTCTCCCAGGTGCTGTTCCGGTTCGCTTTGGCAATCTTCAAGATATGCGAGACAGAGATCCTTAACCAGGAGGACTACATGGCAATCAACCGCTACCTTCGGACGATGCCAGAGAAGATGACCAACACCAGGCAACTCGGCCAAGTGAGTCGGCAGTTTTTCGCTTAAAGGGCAACAAAAAACTGAGCCGGAGCGTTTTTTCTTGTTCCGCGTTTATTAAGAACAGCCAGAGATGATTGGAACTACAAAAAAAGGAAACCAAGTTTCGAATCTTGGTTCTTGTAGAACATGTGTGCCAGTAAAGAGGGGCACATGTGGCATCTTCGCACGTGGACGTCATCCAGCAGTGTGTGCCTTTAGCAGATTAGTTAACTTAAGGAAGCACATTCACCAGAAAGACTAATTATACCTTGTCATAGGATGGGAAAACAAAGGAATAAGTTGAATGGTGGCAATGGTTTTGATCACATTTCACGAAAAACGTAACAGCAACACTGGTATGCATGTACAACACGCAATAATAGGTGCCAGTAATCTGTGTTAGTCTTGGTTCTAACGGTGCTCATTTGACGATTCCGTGGGAGGGACAGATAATATTGTCAGCAATATTGTACGCAAAAATTTGGCTTTTTTAGTACTTTGCTACATAATATATCATGGTAGGTTTAATGACAAATCTTCTGGAAATGCTAGGTTCCACCATTTAAAGTTATTCTGTTCATAAAAAGTAAACAAGTTTGTGCTTGTTATGGGAATGCTTTTTGATAAAAGACTTCAATCAATTGAGAAAAAATATATTTGAGCGTTTATTATCACCGTTTTATGTCTTATTTTGTATTAGTATACATACTCGAAGGAATCATTAATGAGCGGACGAAGTAAAGTGTTGTCGATTTCCCCACGTGAAAAGTCTGATGTTAGCAATGCTGAGAGCCAAAACCACCAAAATGCAAACAAAACAAAAGAGTATGCACAGAAAATCGTAGCCTGCAATGGCATGCTCGAACAAGTATCAGCATCATCACTCTTCATAACCGAAGCGCTCCACAGGATTCCAAACAAGCTCCCACTTCCTTAGCGATCGTTGCCGGATTTTCATTTTCAAGTTTCTATCCTCCTGCAATATGAAATTTGTGGGCAACAGTTGCGGTATCGATCTTAGCTGTCTCGATTCCTTTACATAACAGAGATTACATTCATTCCTTACAAAGCTGCACAGCAGTTGAGTTCTTGTGAAACCTTTTGATTTTTTTTTTTTCAATGCACAGAGATCGAACACCTTGACGGAGTAAACAGGATTTTGCAAGCTAGCTTTGAGCACGGCCCAATTAACCTCTCAGTCTTCCTTCGAAAACCAATTATTTTTGAAAATGTTCAATACTCTCGTCGCGATACGAGTGACCAGAGCTCTACCCGAAACGCACTGCCTGTTTTTTGTCTAGATCCGTAAGTGGCACCCGTTGTAAGAATCCGCGCTTAACCGCAGGTCTCGTCAACATAGTGCTCCCTGGGTACGGAACGAACACTGTCCGAGATGCAACTCTGGTAACCGTTCTGGAACGAGACACTCGCTCGGATTTTTTGAGTTAACTAACGTAATGAGAGTATCATGCGCCTCCCCCCCCCTCTCTTCAACAGAACTCTTTAAGCTTGCTCCCACCCCGAAAACGTCCTTGCTCCTTGCTCGTGCGAACCGTGCCGCCGGTCGCTCTACCACACGTAGTGCGGCTTGGAATGCTGAGACTTCTTCTCGAAGGCCTTCTTGAACTTGCGCTCCTTGCCGTCCTTGTGGACCCTCCGGCTCTGCTTGGCGTAGCGGAGTGCAGAGCGGGCCCTGCTGTTGGTGTGGATGTGCACCGGACGGCGGTCCTCGATGTCCTCGCGGTCGAACTGTGGCAGGGGGCGGTGGATCTGGTGTCCAGAGCGCACGGGGGGCGACGTGTTGTGGCGCTCGTGCTTCACGGAGGGCCTGTGGTTGGCGTGGGTCAGCTTCTCTGCAACGCACGAGAGACAAAGCGGCAGCGTTGAGTCGCGGACGCTATGGTAACCGTGCTGAACTGCGGGTCGATGGCGAGTTTTCGTAGATTGTATCTGCTATTCTGCAACACTGTCCGGAACCCGCTAGGAGAGCCGGAACTTTGCAGGCATTGTTGGCGGCGCATGCGCAGCAGCGACGTCTTTGTTGCAGAGAGCATAGAATGAGAGCCGAGTCAACAGTTTTGAAGTACACGCGGTGAAGGTGTAAGTTATGTAAATTAGTTGTAAAAATGTAAATTAGCCTACTTTGTGCTTAACTCTGCTTTAGATTTAAGTTGCTTCTGACTATAATCTCTAATCCTGCTGTTATGCATTGTTACGAAAGCATTGACTTTTCACAAGCACATAACATAAGCAAATGAATGAATGAATACCAAAACCTGTCATTGGAATCCTCTAAACAGGCAAAGTGGCTAAGCGATATTAACAATGTTAAAAACGACTATGATAATAATCTATTTCTTAAGTTAATGACCCACAACAACGATGAGGTTTTAGTAAGGTAGAACAAGCAAGCAAAATTTTTTGCCAGTGAGGTTTCGAGAAAGCTATCTGGCCTGATCTTTCGTATTACACATCATTTCATTTCACAGAACTGCTAAATGAGATCTCTTGAATGCACATGGAGACATCTCGATTGCCACGAGCAGCTACGAACCACTGGCTCCCAAAACTATTGACCTCAATATGAGGTACAGTCTGGTTCTGGTGCTCACAAAATACTCCCTGGTCAAAATCTGATTAGAACGACCACACCCGGCGCTCTGGTGGGCATGTCTGATGATAAGGTATGAGGAAGCAGTCAGTTTCCATATCGTCCTTACCTTAGGTGGCATTGCTACATCTAAGGCATGGACACGAAAACGCTATGAGCTGACCCTATAAATGCTATGCATTTAATTAATAATTGTATTCAAAGTGTTAAAATGGTTATGTTCTTCACACTCTGGTCTGACTACTAAGCTATATCCGCCACTAGAGATAGATGGTGTCAACAGTCTGAACGCGGCCGCAGCGTACCGTGGTGCGGGTGCGCGTGTCCGCCGTTAGGGTGCGCCAGGTCCTGGAGGTGGATGTCGGTGCTGTGGGGGTCGTGCTGGCGCTTGTGGGCCGCCCGCCGGTTCACCAGGGTGTCCCCCTGCAGGCTGGCTTCGTGGCGAGGCACCGAGAGCACGGCGTGCTTCTGGATCTTCTTCAGCTCCTTCTCGTTCTGCAGCAGAATCGAAAGGAAGTGTCATGCTGCTAGTACCCCCTGCTAGGTGGCGCAAGCCGCTGCCCGATTCCAAGGGTTAAACCGTATTCGTCTATCTGCGCAGCCTAAGAACTGTAGGGGAGATATCGCAACATCGCCCACATCCCTTTGCTCACACCGCTCCTGCAAAAACGAACGAAAAAAAACAAAAAAAAAAAAAAAAACGCAGGGCTTAGTGTTATGTGGGTTAGCGTGCTTTGACTCTAGGGGAAGCTTTCGTTTTTGTAGGCGCCAATCCTAAATAATGAAGCGGACCTTTCTCCCTTTTCGTGAATAGTCAAAGAAAACGGAAAGGGACATTGTATTTGTCCCTTTCTGTGACGTCAGAAAAACGATGCGTTCATAATGAGAGGCGTAGTAACTACCACCCCGTGCCATGAATCCACACTCTGTTTCATATTTCAACCGCCAGGCCGCGGCAATTTTCCCCGCGCACTTTGCATAGGCGGCAGCTCCCCGCTCCTCTCCTTCGCGTCTTTCCCGTTGGGTGGCATCGCCTCCTTTAGGCCCGCTTCAGACATGGCAATTTTTCCCAGCAACTTGACGTCGCAGCACCAGCAACACGGGCCGCCCGCGTTCACACGCAGCAACCAGTTTCTGCAATTAGCTATCATCATCATTAAATTTTATTTTTCTTGCACTATTTAGACACACAGTTACGCGCTGTGAACGTGTTTTTGTACATTTAAATGGCGTTGAGAATAGTAACTCATCTTTCTGAAACGAGTTATTTAAAAAAGAAAAAAAAAAACGATCGATTTTAAATCAGATATCAAGATCAATACTTTAGTTGTCATCATCACCGGCATAGGGTATCACGTGAAAATATCGCGTCCCTGATTGGTTGCGGCCACTTCAATCGTCTTTGAGTTCCTCGCTTGTTTCGAGCCGGACCCGATCTCATGGCGAATTCCACTGGGCGTTTTGGAGCGCGCCGGGATCAGTTGACCAGATCCGGAATGGAGCACACGATCCGAACTGGGTCGCGCCGCCTACGGGTCCCCAGTGGAATTTGACCACTGCTCCGGGATCGGTGGATGCCTTCCCATCATTCACTTGCCCGGGAATCCCCCTTCCGCGGCCGCCGCGGTCGTTTCGAAGACGTTTTCGCAATCGCGGCGCTAACATGTGTTTGACGCACGAGCGGCAGGAATTGCTCAGGAGCTTCTAGCAAAGATTGCCGGAATGCCGGAAGCTGCTCGAGCAACTTGAAGATGAACTGTCGTCAAGTAGCAGCAGCAGTAAGGCGGGTGGTACAGGCGACACCTCCCGAGCGGCCATTACGAATTCTTCTAAGGCGAGATCAGGCGAGATGCCCCGCGAGAAAGGAAGTCACGTGTGTGCGCCGAGGGCTGGCCCGGCTGGTTTCCGGTTGAATCCGCCGAAATCGGCGGAGCGACTTTTCTCGGGTCCAGATCGAGATCCGGAGCGGGAGCTAATCCAAAACGACCCGTGGAACACATCCGTCTCGATCCCGATCGCCCAGTGAAATAGGATATCTCCAGAAAAGTCGATGCCGGCGCGCTCCAAAACGACCAATGGAATTCGCCATCAGCAATTCGTGTCGGTCTAGGGAAAGCTGGGGAACAACCCGCCAGCAACCCCAAAATTGCTGAGAAATTTGCCCCGTCTGAAGCGGGCCTTCGAGTTTCAAATAGAGTAGCTGCACGGAGCTGAGCAAACACTTGTCAACTTTTGTTTTTCGTGCGTCTCTTTTCGCCGCGATGGCCTTTACTCCTATCACTCCTTAAGCTGACAGCGCGGTGGGAGCTACGCACTCGCCGGACCAATCACCCGCCACCGTTTAGTCACGTGACTCGCCCCATAACCTCACGGAGAGCCCCGAGGGTGTGAGGCGAGTGCGTGATCACGTGACAAAAGATCGACGTAGCTTAGCTTTCACCCCGCACTGTCAGCTTAAGGATGAGCAGGGCAGAGTACGGACCCTCGCGAACGAGCTATCGAAAGCAGCTCCCGTCGATCAAAAAGTGAGGAGGCGCCAAGGCAATCCCGACCTGATTGATTTCCCTCTAATCTGTTCTCTCGGGAGCCGGAGAGAGAGAGAGAAAAAAAAAAAAAAAAAGTGCTCGTACGGAGAACAGCAAAGAAACGGCGAGCGAGACTTTCCCCCCAGACCATTATTCTCTGGGTTGACGCGGCACCTCTGTCTGCTTCTTGATTGTTTATATACGCCGCGGCCATTGGCCATCTTGTACAACAACCTTTATTATTTTCTTCCCCGCCCGCAAAACTTTCCGACAGCTTTCTCCAATATCACTATTTTTTTTTTTTTTTTTTTTATTTTTTGTCAATTCTCGGAGGACCGAACGACCCCCCGAGACGCCTAGTGCCGCTCGGTAATAAAATATTTTTTTTCACTTATATATATATATATATACATATATATATATATATATATATATTAGCACAGCGGTTGCCACGCCAAACTATTCTAGACACATAATCGTTAGTTGCTGTTTGTAGGGTGCAGTCTATTACACGCTCCATCTTGGGAGCTGCGTATTGCTTTCTTCTGCCATGAGAACATATCTTCCAGGGACGTGTTCCCGCCACCGCTGCACCGACCTGATGAAAGTAGACGTCGACGTTGATCGCAATATGTTTCAGTTTGTGGAGAACATGCGAAACACCCCCCATTTCTGCAACGTCTTTGCGTGCACGGTCACCCTCGAAAATAAACGTCCCGAACGTTTGCAGACCGCGGTTTTGACTAGACGCAGCAACATCGCAGGAGACTAACCGGGCCTTCGTGATCCTAAAGGCCCGTTCACACTCTTGCAACCGAGTACGACCGAGAGAGACCAGACCGGTTTTTAAGCCTCTTGCGATCTCTTAGGACTAGCTCCGCTGCCGCGTATCCGGCCCTAAGAAGTCGCAAAAGGCTTAAAATTTTATAGACATTTGTGACGCGTATTTCTGTACCTACGAAAGAACTGAAGAAACCGAAACTGAACTATCTGCGTTTCTCGTTTTTGGGCCTCCGAAAACGGAGGTGACGTAGGGAGCGACGTCACATGTGAATTGTCGGTACCGGCAGCATTTAGGGCGTCGAGACTCTGGTTACCACGGTGGGTTATAGCAGCGCGGTGGCGCGGTCGTTTCGTCGAACCAACATGGACGGCAATGCCGCTCTCGCGAGCGAATTCGGGATCCCGTTCACTGACCTGACACCAACAGAACGGGAGGTGCTCCTAAGGATACGGAACACTGGAATGCCTCTTTACGAGGACGCCCCAGAATTGCCGCCGACCCAGAGTGATTCGCCTCACACCTACGCCCAGACTCCGGCTAACCTGAAGGTTCTATTCAAAGTCTCCTTACCGAAAACGTAGCGAACAAATTCTGACGCCATCGCCGAGACCTCTGCGCAAGACAACGCTGTTCAACCAGAGATTTCGCAATGCTTCATCGCTTGGGAGTAGGTGAAAACTAGCATCGCCCGAACGATCACGGGTCTTCAGTCGACCGCTTTGAACATCCTTGAACAGCGCACAAATTTGGCATGACTACCGCTTTGCAGAATCCCTCGAGTGCCGTGTTCCGAAAGTAAACACGGCACCGACATCTGAAACCAGAACCAAAAAACTCCCGCGTGCTCCGCGCTGTGTTCTTTATTTTATATATTTTGTTTGCCCATAGTTGCTCGTTGCCCGTTTCGCGTGCAGTGTAGCAAAGAGAAAAATAATTATGGTGTTTTGTTTACGGTTTAGTAGTCATTTTTGGTTCGATTTATAGTTTCCATGGTTATTCAAGTGGAATTAGAACAGTGTTCATAAAAACCACGAACCAAAGCGTGACCGAGGGCACGTTTCTCGTTTCGACCAATCGCTGACACGTCTTTTGTGACGTCACGCTTCCAGGCCCCGCAGGGTCACGTGATTTCCGCTTCTGCTGGTTTCTCCCGCAACGCTCGGGGCGTCGCCTCGATCGATCCCGGTACGATTATTACCGCGACTGTTTAGTTGATTTGCGCGGCACACACGCCGGCTTCGGCTGAAATTTGGGCAACGTGGCCTGAGGCGTGCCAGGAACCCAGTTCAATCGCCAAAAGAATATCCGAAATATCCTTCATTGTCCCTTTAAGCGCGCGAGAATCCGAAACACTATAGTCGGACGCAACCTAAGAACAATCTTTTAGCTCCACCCACAAGCGCATTGCGCCCATCTGAAGTGCCTCCGCCGTCGAGAAAGTAGTTCGCTAGCAACGTTGCTTTTTCTTCTTCCAGGAAACGTGTCTTAAACTACTACAATATTTATTTAATTCATTCAGGACATTTAAATAAGTTAGAATACGTTTTTGTCAACGAAATAGCTGTTTAGTAAAGAAAGAAAGTTATGTCCAATGTACCGTCTTCCCAATTCACTTTCTGCCCAAGATACTGTCTAACATACCGTCTAACATACCTCTCAGCAGTGCTAAGCCTCGCGCCCACTTCGAAATTTTCGTTGGCGATAGCTTCGCTGGATTCTCACGTTGTCGCGCAAAAACTGCTGCAAACGCAAGCCGATACCATTAAGATTTCATGGCGTAACCTCGGGCACGTAAAACACGGTGCAAAAAAGCCGAATAATTGTCACGAGAAACTAGCGTCACGTTGCTAAAGCCAGCAGCCATGTTGAGCTTTTTTTTTTTTTTTTTTTTTTTTTTTGTTTAAAAGGATCGCGATTGGTCCACGGAATCGTGACGTCATGAAAACGATTGGCTGGCGTTTCTCGGCGTAGGATTACATTTTCCTCTGAGAGGCATTTCCGGTTTTTTCTTAGCTTGCAACCGACTATAGAGAGGTTTTGAACTTTTGATAAATCGTTTCGATAACATGCGATAAGCGTACCTGATACTTCGCCAGCGCCTTTGCGCCGTGTCGCTGTCGGCTATCGTTATCAGAGCGCAAAAACAGTTTTTGTAAATCGCTCAGATAACGATACCCGCCGCCGGC